ATGAATTATTATGATTATTATATTCTCGGTGTATGTATGAATATAATTGCAAATATACATATATAGATAAATGATCACAGCTGTGTCTTCACTAGACTATATTGTTATTAAATAATAAAAAGTGTCGCAAGTCACGTTGAATGATGTCCACAAATCAATAACTTCTATAAGGCGGAAGGTAGAAAACGGATTAAGACATCGACAAGGCCAAAGTTACAACGCTTTTATATCGACCAATCAAGAAAAGGTTGAAGAGTCCGTGCACTAGAGTACACACACCGGCTGTGCCCAACACTAAGACGTATAACATATAGTCTATTTACATAATACTTCTGGGCATAGGTCTCCTCTCTAATCTGGGAGCTCTTTAGACTTCACTTGTATTCGAAATATATATATATATATATTCATATTTTTAAATTTTTTGAGACATGCAGGTTTTTCTTCACCGCCAAGTAACTACTTTTCTTATTCCTGAGAGGGTTTTAAGGCAATAACAAAAGACAACGCGGCAAAATTACTCCCCGGTATAGCAGACGTTATAGATTTTCATGCAGGTTTCTTCACTGTTTTTCTACCGACTTCAAAAAGGAGTCGGTACTCAATTCAACTGTATGTTTTTTATGTGTTTTTTTTATAGGATAGGGTGATAAACGAGCACACAGTCCACCTGATGGCAAGTGGTTACTGTGACCCATAGACATCTACATCTATCCTCAATAAAGACTCAAGATGCAGATGCGTTGTCACCCGTGAGGACTAAGATGGAATGCCTCTTTGCCAGTAAAAAGGGTCTCCGGTTCTCTACACTCACCATACGAAACACATCAGCGTTAAGCTGCTATTTTACGCTGGTTTTCTGTGAGAGCGTGGTCCTTCCCCGGTCGACCCGACTCATTCGTGCTACAACTATCTATACATATAATAAAACTGTAAATAGCAGATGTCTGTACATTTTATATTTTTGTAATAAAAGTGATTGAGGGGTACTAAAAATAAGTAATTAAATACATTTCTACCATTTTTAGAATTTTCTGTCTGTCTGTCTGTCTGTCTGTCTGTTTGTTTGTTAACGTATCACGTTTAAAGTACTAATTCATATCATAAGAATTGTTAAGGAAATTCTAAAGTGTACCTTCGGGTTAAATTTAGTCTTTATTTCATTAAAATCGGTTCATTCCATCAAAAGTTATGATAAATATTCTGAAGTATGGGTAGGGAATTTGCTCAACGGTGGCTTTGTTTGAGTCATCAAGTTGATGTTAGCAGCGCCATCTCTCTTTAATTAAATATATACATATAATAAAAATGATGATAACATGTTGTGTCTCTTTCTGTACATTGTATATATATTTTGGTAACTAAAATCATTATGGGGAACTAAAAATAATTAAATAAGTACATTTTTATAATTTTTAGAATTGTCTGTCTGTCTGTTTGTCTGTTTTTATATGAATGCATCACGTCTAAAGTAAACATCTTTTTTTTTCAAAGAAATCGTTAAGAAAATCATAAAGCGTATCTTCAAGTTACATTTAATCTTTGTTTTATTAAAATTGGTTAATTCTATCGAAAGTAATGATTATTATTTTAAAATGTAGGTTCGAATTTGTTCAATGGCGCCATAAAAATCTCAGAAATAGTAATAAAAAGATTTGTGTGTAAAAAAACGTTCCATAATAATTAATGTATTTATACTTAAAACATAAAAAGAGATTTAAAAAAGGATGTTTTCTCACACAAAGGACGTAATAGATGGAGTTGTACAATTTACAAACTTTTCTGATTTGCTGTGTTGAGATTTTTCGCCGATGAATCGTATTGAGACTTACTGAAGAAATTTGTATCTATCGAAGCCATAAAACAAAACCCGAACAAAAATAACAAAATTGCAACGAAATGTCGTGATATTTTATTTATAATATACGCAAAATCAGTACTGCTATTTTAGCGCTTTGGGAACTAGATTTAGTGCTTTTTTGGAATGTATAGCGCGCATTTCGAAATTTTAGCACCTAGCACTTAATCCAGCGCTTTTTGGTGTATTTAGCACACATTTCAAAATTGTAGCGACTAGCGGGTTATTAACTCTTTTATAGCAGCACTGTTAGTCCACATTACCGATATTAATAATAATGACCTTTATTATTTTTTTCCACAAATAGTACATTGCAGTTTATCTTTTTCAAACATATTTTTTCCACAAAACAAAGAACATGGGAGACGAGTCCAAACTGGGATACCCTGTGCTATGGATCTCCCGGCTTCCCCTTTAGGATGATCAACTTGATTTTTTTTATCGACAACTATAAGCGGGGAAATCCTCTTCATTAAAGTTTTCATTCATGGTTTTGGCAACGCATTTATTTTGCTTTATTCAGTTTTAGTCAGTTGTTTAGAGCACAGCTAAGTTAAAAGTTACTTAGAGTAGTACTAACTACTGTTGACAGCAATTGCCATAATTATAAGTCGATGTCCTGCGAAGTATTGATACATCAAAAAATATTGCCAGAAAAAAACTTAATGTTGTTTTCTTTATTATGATTATTATGATTTCTTTAGTATTTTCTTGAATTATAAATTATAATAAAAAACACAAACTTTGTTTGTAGTTAATTTAGCGCGAAATCTAGGGCTTTTTTAAAGCGCTGTTTTCATGAAATCTAGCGCTTTTTGTGTTGTCCTAGCGCTGAATGAGTTTTTTTGATCTGGCAGCACTGCCAAAAAACCTTTATTAAGAAGTAACTTTCCTTTCAGTTTTAAGCGCGTTCAGTTCCCAGTTACAGTCAGCGTGTGTTATGCGATGACCGTAAATAAAGCGGAAGGTCAAAATTTACGCGTTGTAAGAGTGGACCTCATTACTGACTGTTTTGCACATGGCCAACTCTATGTTGCTTTTTCCCACGTTAGTAGCCCCCGTAACCTTTTTGTGTACACCCCGTCTAAGTCTACTTCTAACATCGTGTACACCGAAGCTCTATCATAAACTACTTAGAACTTTGATGATAATGATTTATTTGTTACCACTTATTGATACAGTAATGATATAAATCGTTTAATATTCTCTTACCTAAACGACAAATTCTTTATGTAAAATCTATATACGCGAGCTACGCTGCGGGCACAGCTAGTATTACTAATATAGCTGCAGCATGGCTCTACCACGTAAAATAAATATCATAACTTTTTTCTGGGTGAACCGATTTCGATGATCCTTTTTTTATTCGAAAGCTGGTGCTTCTTATGTAGTCCTATAAATTTCAAGGTCTGGTCAATAGTTTTTGAGTAATTCTTAATAATTTATATTTAAATCGGTTGTACAAAATTTTTAATTTTTAATTATTTTTCTACGGCTGAGCATGCAGAAAGTCAGCAAATTAAATTGTCAATAAATTATTATTCAAAGTAATTTTAAAGTTTAATTTACTACTGGTTTGATCACTGTTCTACTTGTCTGGGCCTTTAAAAAACAGTTTATAATTATAAGTATTATGTTATTTAAATGTGTGTGCACACATTACATTTTCATATTTATATTGAGGCTAACGCTCGTATTAATTTATTTTAATGTTTGTCTGAGAGACTCATTAGATTGTAAATTGTAGATTGCTCTTATGGTCCTTTTCTTCTTCTTCTTAAAAAAAAACATTATTGATTCAGTGTCAGTCGCGTTTCGACATAGTAAAACAACAAACAAGATTATACTATGGAAATAACGTGTGTGTAATCGGAACGGAGCGTAGCGGATTCAGAGGAGATACATAAAAAAAGTAGTGGCAAATTGCATCTCTCATTGTTTCCTATTAATTTGTTTCTAAGAATAGATTTTGCATTTCAACGGTAAAATAAAAATTAATGTGAAATATACAGGTTTATTTTTCAAAGAGTAGCCAAATTTTAAACTCAAGTTCAAATATATAAATTTATAATAATATATTATTTTTGCAGTTTTTGAAAATACGGGTAAATTAGGCCTCTACTTTTATATGAAATTATCCCAAATTGAATGCGATTTATGGGCCACAAAGTTTTAGTCTACCCTTACAAATTTGTGCGTGTGCAGTAAAATCAGTTAAAATAATGCATTACCACGCATTTTGAATTTAAAAGTTAAAAAGGACAGAAAGTTTCTTCACTATTTGCCTATATCACTTATTCAGAACCTTCTCTGAAAATTTGAACGGATAGTGCAAAATAACCGTCTATAATGAAGGTAAATTGTTATGAAAACTATATACAAGTTTAACAAATAGGAGGCCTTATCGCTATGCAGTGATTACTTTGCAGACAAACCTTTGATGGAAAATAATAAATCTGTATATAAATAAGAAAGTTATTGCTTTTAAGACGCGTTGCATTTTAGTAAATGCATCTTATTTAAATGTTTAAAGTAGTTAACATCTTAACGTATATACAATAAAGAATAAATAAATAAAATCAAAACCTATCACTGAATGTAAGACTCCTCCAAAGATTACATCATATTTGCCAAAGACGCCATACTCGACAGACGGGTTGGCAACCTCAGTTTGATGGTAAGAGGATAATGTAGCTAATAGACATTTACCACCATCCCCGATTAAGAAACAAAATGTAGATGCGTTGTCACCCCTGAGTACTAAGATAGAATGCCTCGTTAACGAAACACAGCAGCATCATTCTGCTGTTTCATGCTGATATTATGTGAGACTGGGCTTAAACCGGTCCAGCCAACCAATTATTGCTGTACCGTAGCTCTACCATACGACCTAATGAATGAAGTTAGGTAATTTTTTTCTTCTAATTGCGGTGCATCTATAAAAAAATTCTTTATTTTTGATATATCTTGAAAAAAATTTAATTGACAGACTGATGAGGAGGAGCATCACCAGTGGAGGGAAGGTTGACGGGTGATTATTAGGCGAATCTTTTATGTTAGCCATAGTATAACGCATTTATAATGTGTACACCATCCTAGGAATCACGAGGATTTATTATATACCAAAATCTAGAATACGCACTTTTTAACAGTAGCGTAGTCTCCACGATCGGCGTTCAGTAGAAACGATTTTTCCTCCTTTGTTAGTGGTTTTTCGTAAACCTGACGTAAATCGTGCTGGCTGTTCCTGAGGGCTTCCTGAGAGCTCCCCAGGAGCTCTTCTCTGGATCCCCGATTCATCCTTGCCTGCAATAATTATATTTAGTACATGATGATAAATTGCAAGACTTAATTCTAGAACATTGAAATACATATTAAACAAATATTATGTCATTCCCAATTGTACCGTTTAGTAATGGTGTCAGAATATCCACTATCCCATATCGTACCGTTGGTGTATACTAAAAGGCGATAGGGGGAAACAAACTAGGAGATAGGCAGCAGCGTCTTTCAAATAACCACTATAAAATTAAAATAAAACTCGCTTGTCAAGTATAGCAAATATCACTCCTACGAGTAAAGGTAATCTGGGGAGCCCCATGTTCACCAGTGGACTTTTTATAGACTACTAGTTGACCAGGCAGACGTTGTTCTGCCCTTTCCGACGACCATATGTCCTAAAAAAATCCTTAAATTCACAATTATAAAAATTGTCACTTATCGGGATAAAAACTATCCTATCTCTCAAGTTGGACCAAACTGCACACATTGTGAAACATTTCATTGAAATCAGTTCAGTAGTTTAGGAGTTCATCGCGGACAAACAATGTGACACGTAATTTTTATATACAAAGATTACAATAACGGTATTACTCCTATGACTTGTCGGATGATAAGATCGACATAATTTAAGTGTTCTAGTAGCAGTTTTCTATTAGAATAGAATATAATCATTTTCATTCAATATAGATTATAGTACATAAAACTTATTGAAAGTCATTTGTTACTTTTACCACTGGTTCGCAAAAAATACCTCTGTCCTGGGAAGAACCAGCAAGAAACACAGCGGGACTTTTTTTAGAAAGCATAATTTACAATATAATATTTTATACAATTATTATGAAAACATTTAGAAACCCACCTCATTCCCAGGGGTTATTATCAGTCATGTACTCTTTAGTAGTATAATAAACCTTACTAGACAATTTTTGATAGAAAAGGTCTGCATATTTTCTGGCACTTTGTTGTAAAAACGTATACTAGTTTCCCCGCTGAATGGCTATACTTAGCCTTTGAACGAGAAAAGAATCGTATACATCGCCACTAATTCTGTGAAGTCTAGTAACTGTCATTATAAGCTGGTATTTTCATAGTACCACGTGAGACAGTAAGAGTGACTTCACGTCAATCGCTCCAAGTATTTTTATGTTGCATACAAAGTTATGCTTTTAATATGGCTTCTATTATAATGCAGTAACCTTGAAATATAAGCAACGTTTCTTTAGAAAGGCCATTACCATGTTTATACAATAATAATGGAATGTTATTATCACGTTTTCACCACGTTCGGGTCGAATTTAGTGTTTTTAAAGTAACTTCCGACGAACTAGACTTGAAATTTTGAACATAGCTCAGAATTGGATGACAAGGTAAAAATATGAAAAAAAAAAAACGGGGTATATTAAAAAACATTTAATTTTTAATTGCTTGTGTAACATTTAAAATATTTATTTAATATGATTTTACGAAAACTAGGAGTATGTTACGTTCTAATTTCAAAGTGATGAGTCAAACGTTTTGTTAAAGTTTAGTGACACTTCGGTATTATTAAATTGGTGTAGTAGTCAGCTTGAGGTATCCAAGGGGTGATTGTTGTTTCGCTTTCTAATACAGACTTCCAAAAACACCTTATGATATTTGAAATGTGTAAAATATTTTATGTTTATTCTGCGATTGCGGCGTAAAGTCATATTGGTCATAGAACGACCAATTTGACCCAATTAATGGGAAGCAGCATTTGCCTGGAACATCCAATAAAAAAACTGCGGTTGCAAATCCGTCTCTAATATGTTGCAACTATCAGAACAGTCATTAGGATGGCTTTCGTTTGTGTTTTTTTTATAGGGGAGGGGGCAAACGAGCATGTGGCTCACCTGATGGTAAGTGACTACCGCCACCCATGAACAACCGCAACACCTGGGGAATTGCAGATGCGTTGGCTCTTATGAGTAGGTTCTTTTCTTGAAGGTTCCTAAGTCGTATCGGTCCGGAAAAATCGCTAGTGGTAATCGATTCCAAAGAGAGGTTGTACGAGGAAGAAAACATTTTCTAAATCGCACAGTGGTGGACCGCCAATCATCCAGGCGGTATGGATGGTATCGCAAGTTTTGTCGCGATGTGCGATGGTGAAATTGAGCGGCTGGAATTAATCCGAATATCGAGTATCGAGCCGATCAGAAAGAACTCGGTCGTCAACGATTCGAACCCCTCTGTGCTGGATGAGGTTAAGTGGAAGGAGCTGGCACTGGGGTGCCCCGGCCCAGAGATGAGAACAGTATTCCATGTGAGGCCGGATATGCGCTTTGTAAAGTTGCAAGCGATGCACCAGCATGAAATACTGTCTCGCTCTGCTGAGCACGCCAAGCTTTTTAGAGGCCAGTTTGGCCTTCCCTTCCAAGTGACCACGATACTGCACACTATTCGATATGTTGACGCCGAGGATACCGATGCTAGCTGAGGCAGCAAGGGGAGTGCCTTGAAACTGAGGAGATACGACAAAGGGGTTCTTTCTAGCGGTAAACGCGCAAACTTGTGTCTTCTGGGGATTGAACTTGACTAGATTTAGTCGCCCCCAATCCGAGACTTTGTTGTTTTTTTGCATTGTGGACTGTAATGATGATGATATTGATAATAGGGGCGAAACATACGTGGACCAGTTTTGTCGACTACGAGAAATGGTGTCCGAAAAATTGACAGAATATAAATTATCTCAAAAATATTAGACTTAAAATACGTAAAAATAACGTAAAAATTTAAATCGTTTTAAGAATCCCTCATTGTCATCAACCCATAAAAGTCCACTGCTGGACATTGGCTTCTCTTGCTGTATGGATTTGCTTTAATCGTCACGCGTGCCACAATCGCATCACATACAGCCATTACTAATATAAAAATTGGATTAGGAGTTAGCAAGTGTGAAATTTAGTTTAAGTTTCATGTTCTATCGGAGTTATAAAAATAAAATTGTAAAAAACTGTTCTGAATTTTTTTCCCTATTTTAACTATAGTTGTGAATAGGCTATATCCGGACCGAAGGACCAAAAAAATCATTGATGATATTTAACGATGTATTTTATTTTCAGCCTTCTATTGCGTGTTCCAGTTTTCCTTAAAACTGTCCTTACAGTGAGAGCAAGTACAACTACAGGCTATGACCTATTTCATCTTATTCTATAGGGATGCAAAAGCTTAAAAATGTAATTTCATTAAATTGACAGATTAACTAAATATTATAATTATGAAGTACTGTTTAAAAAAACTAGATGAAAGAAGAAATATTTAATGACAAAAATATAAACGAACTTAAGATAAACACAATATAGTAAATGCACTGACTGCGGAACTGCAATGGCTACGTAGCGCAGTGGCGAAGCGTTTTGGTGTAGCATTGCGAGACGCAGTTTTGAATTTCACACGTAACTATTATTTATATGGTCCACAACAATTGTTTCGTATCTGGAAGTTTGTCCATTTCATAGAGCTAGCGGCTAAACACTCGCTGTAAATTTCACAGTAAGCGAACAAACCGTTTTCGATCCCCTTAGGCTCCAATGAAATCGTGAATTGCAATTTTAATTGCTGATTTACCACATGAGATGGAAATCTAAGAATTTAAAAATATATCTTGAAGTAAAGCGAAGTCCACCATAACACATTTTGGCAGTGCGGTGGACAATCGACCTTGACCTTGAGTAGTGAGTATATATAGGCTGTATATTTACTTTTTTATATGATAAACTAACCGTATATAACCATATCGTTCCGAAGGTGTCGTAAGAGGCGAAGGAGGGTAAACGAAACAGGAGATGGGCAGCGGCATCTATTATTCCTGATAACAAGTCAAAATAATAAAAAAACTGCAGTTGCTAGCCCGTATACCATGCGTGGCATCTATGGCAAAATCCTTCCATGGGGCGATCTATGAGGGGTACCTAAATCCAGCAGTGGACTTTTATAGGCTGTAATGGATGGATGCATATGATAAACATCTTCAAGATACAGGAGAAATTTTTTGTGTAAATTTTGTTTAAACTTTTTTAGTATAAAATATCGTTTAATATTGTATAATTTATTTTCATACCATTAAAATATGCATTTTATAATTAAAGTTTAAAGTTTTAGTTTTTTTTATTATGGTAAAATATTATATTATATTGTTCCTATATGTGGTGTTTTATTACATTTATTTGAAATTTGTTTTTCCTACTTTGCCTACTTTTAAGCAACTACTAGCACTCGTGGATTCTTATTGTCCGAGGAATAAAAAATATTTTTTTTATTTTTTATTTTATAAATAAAATTAATTCAATGCTTAATTCCTTGCGGTATTGATAAAATAAAGTGCAATGATGAACATAGGGCATCCCATAGATTTAGATTTTTATTGTTTTGAGTTGTCATCAAGAAGATACTGCTAGCCATTTGCTGTTCCGTTTCTTTTGCCGCCTTTTGCAACACGCTTTCGTATGAGTCATGCTCGTCTTTTCGCTATCGCTAATGCCATCCACGATTTATTAAAAACATAAAATAATATAAAAATAGTCGTAGGTTCCTTTTACGTGGTAGAGCCATGCTACAGCTATATTAGTAGTATAGTTGTAGCACGAATGGGTCGGCTCGACCGGGGAAGGACCACGCTCTCACAGAATACCGGCGTAAAATAGCAGCTTGACACTGCTGTGTTTCGTATGGTGAGTGTAGAGAGCCGGAGACCCATTTTACTGGAAAAGAGGCATTCCATCTTATTCCTCACGGGTGACGACGCATCTGCATTTTTATTCTTTATTGAGGATAAATGTAGATTTCTATGGGCCACAGCAACCACTAACCATCAGGTGGACTGTGTGCTCGTTTGTCACCCAATCCTAAAGTTCGAATCTACATTGCGAGCAAAACTCGTGATACCGTCCACACCATCTGGGTGATTGGGGTCCATCACTGGTCATTTTACCAGAAGTTTTCTTTCTGGTACAAGAACCTTGTAAAATCGGCTACCACCAGCAATTTCTGAAACCGATAAGACTTAG